TTTTTCCTTTTCTATTATTTTCCTCTATTTCTTTGCATTGTTCATTTAAGAAGGCCCTCTTGTCTGTCCTTGCTTTTTTTTGGAAGTCTGCATTCAATTTTCTGTAAGTTTCCCTATCTCCCTTGCATTTTGTTTTCCTTCTCTTCTCTGCTATTTTTATACCTACACAGGCCCAAAGATCATTGCCTGAGGATCTCCTTGAGAGGGAGGCAACAGAGAGAGGCTTTTCAGGGGTGAAGCCCTGTCTTTGGAACAGCCTTTCCAGGGACTAAAGCAGTGGTTCCCAACTTTGGGTCCCTAGATGTTGTTCTTGGACTAAAACTCCCAGAAGCCTTCACCATTAGCTGTAGTGGCCAGGACTTCTGGGAGTTGTCGTCCAAGAACATCTGAGGACCCAAGGCTCAGAACAACTGGATTAGAAGAATAGTTTTCGTGGTTTTATTTTGGTTCTATGGTGCAAAGACAATGGTGTGTTGCATAATATTTTCTCTCTTCTTGTTGCATTTCCCTACTCGGAGTTGTAATTTGAAACCATCATCAGTTTCTCAAAAATGAAAATAAACACTGTGTGCAGGCTCACAATGTAGAACAACACAAGACAAAAGTAGGAGAGAACTGGAAAGAAAATGTAAACAACTGGCAACAGGACTAGCAATTAAAATTGTTTTGAAGCCTCTACCCTAAAGAATGTACTGTATTATGCCTTTGATTCACCAGGATGTCATCCAAGAGAATAGCACAGAAAGGAATGAACCTAGTTAGTAGATATCAGGGCAGGGTGGGGTCAGTGAAATCACTTCAGAAACAATCTGAGACAATTTGAGTAATATAAGTAGTTCCAATAAGGTAAACATTTTCTAAAAGGAAAGAAAACTTGGAATCTAACAGACCAAAAGCCATTTTCTCATGAGGTCCCAGTGCTCAGAAGAATAGCCAGGTTTTAACTTGGCACTGAAATAAGGGCAATGTTGACATTACTTGGTCTTTCAGGACTGAGGGCTACAATTGAAAATCACTTCTCTTACCTCTCCATCATCATCATCATCATCATCTTAGAACTGCAGAGTTGGAAGGAACCCTATGGATCATTGAGTCCTACTCCTGTCACGGAGACAAATGTGGGGAATCCGACTCCCAACCTCTGGCTCCTCAGCCAGATGTCTCAGCCACCGAGATATCGAGCAGTTGCCTGTTCTCATTGGGGGACTGATAAGAGTTACTTGCCTTTTTGTGATAATGAAAGCAAAACTACCTTACAACTGTAGCTTAATGAGGGACAACACCACTCCTCTCACCACTGTTTCCATTTCTCTTGTCATTACAAGCAATGTTACCCCCACTGCTTTAAGTATGTTTTTGTACCACATCCAAATTGTCTGTAGCAGTTCTGATGCTTTCTATAAGGAAAAAAGAAGAAGAAAAGAAGTTATTTTGCTTCTGTTTGATTAACAGGAAGCCAAATATTTTGCTTTTAGAGAGTGTGTTTCTATAGCAGCAAGTAACAATTGGGGGGGGGGGCAATTGTAGCTAAAAGAAGTAATGTTCCTTTCTAGTTGCACCCAAAGTGTTTCTTTCAGACACAGCGAGTAACTCCAGACAAGTCTGAGAACATAATAGTAGAATTAATTATCAGTGAAAGGATCAATTTTGAATTTGGGATGTTTGATACTAACCAATATCACTGACCACTATACAAATGCACAACCACAAGGAAAGTCACATGCAGTGCCATCACAAGCTCTCTTGCTGTCTGAGGCACGAGGAGAAATGCTACCCCCACTCTCATGGTACTGAACTCCTTCCCACTCCTTCCCAGCAAGCCCATGCCCCCTTGCTGACACAGAAACACAGGGAGAAGCAGGTATTCGCTAGAGTTCACATCATGTTCTATGGTTTCTCTGCTTACGGGTCCAGCTGTTGTCTTGCTCGGAAGAAGTCTACATTTATATTCCTATGCATAGCATCACTCACATGGCAAGTCAAATAGAGCTCCTATATATCTCCATAAGCCTAGGGTTTGGCAAAATTCTTGTACTGTATCTGGGATGGCATCATATATGCATATGAAATTGTTGGCACCTACAAGAAAAGAATGGAATAGAAATTCTTGAGCATGGTGGGATTAGGAAAGTAAAGTGTGCTGCTTATATACCACCCCATAGCACTTAAAGCACTCTCAGGGGGGCTTATAATTTAATTATGAAGCCTACCCATTGTGCCCCCCCCGCCAAACTAGGTACTGACCTCAGAAGATGGAAGGCTGAGTCAACCTTGAGCTGGCTACCTGAGCCCATCAGGATCAAACTCAGGTTGTGAGCAGAGTCTTCATTGCAGTAATGCGGTTTAAAGACTCCTAGTAGATTTATCTCTAAGTAGATTTATTTGTTCAGCACAAACAGTTTTCAAACAGTCTGACTCAAAAACAGTAACCATTCCCATTGCTGTTGGTAATTATGATGATGATGAAAACAGAACTTTTTTTAAAGAAGGGGGGCAGGAGGAGAGTGCAAATTAAGTCATACCAAGACCACTAGGATATGCCTTCAGAAAAACAAATAATCAGATGACACAATATGTATGGGTTATTCTTTTCCAAAACGATAGATAGATAGATAGATAGATACAGTAACCATTCCCATTGCTGTTGGTAATTATGATGATGATGAAAACAGAACTTTTTTTAAAGAAGGGGGGCAGGAGGAGAGTGCAAATTAAGTCATACCAAGACCACTAGGATATGCCTTCAGAAAAACAAATAATCAGATGACACAATATGTATGGGTTATTCTTTTCCAAAACGATAGATAGATAGATAGATAGATAGATAGATAGATAGATAGATAGATAGATAGATAGATAGATAGATAGATAGATAGATAGATAGATAGATAGATAGATAGATAGAAGAAAGTATGCATCATCATCTTGATACAGTAAATGATAATTTTATCTTTCTACAGCCTGGATAACACTTTTACATTAAGTGAATTTCCTAATTATAAGAAATTCGTGCTCTTTTTCTTCACGCTCCTTTCCTGTTTGGCATAGTCAGCTAGGTGGCTGCTAGGTCCTGTTCCCTTGCAACCAAATATCAATTGTCATAACATTTACTGTGCAGGTTGCCTTTCTGTCTGTCTTTCTGCCCATCTGTTCCTCATTCACTTGTCCACCCATGGACTGCCCAGTCTTTCTAATCTACCTCCATGTCTTCCTTTGTCTTTCTGTTTCTGATGCAGAGACACTTTGCACTCAGATACACCCGGAGGGCATCTTTCTATTTATTTACCTTTGCAAGAACAAAAGTAAAGCAAAAGAAGAAGGTGGGGGAGATTGGTTTGTTTACTGCTAGTTACATGGAAAGTTCATGCCACAATTAACGGGCCATTCTCTAAGATGGAGCACCACATGGGGCCCTTTTGATCCATCTGTTTAGCAGATCTTCTTGAGCTTTTCAAACCACTATCATTTTGGTCCATGAACTAGAGTTGAAGGTTGCAAGTGCTCCTCTTTTGCCTCTTTGCCTTCTTATCTTCATCACCTACAGCAGTGGTCCCCAACCTTGGGCCTCCAGATGTTCTTGGACTTCAACTCCCAGAAATCCTGGCCAGCAAAGGTGGTGGTGAAGGCTTCTCGGAGTTGTAGTCCAAGAACATCTGGAGGCCCAAGGTTGGGAACCACTGACCTAGAGGATAAGGAGAAGAAATGTCAACCACTGTTTGTTCTTCTGTTCTAGCAGGTGATCTTCATCTTTGGTTAGCCAGTGTTCGCAGCCTATGATTAATATTGTGCTGAATATTTGCCTTCAAGACAAAGTTTATGAATGTCCTTGTGAAAAGAGCCCAGGTATATCCTCTCCAAGTGTTCTCTTTTTAAAAAAGGAAAATGATCCAGATACTCTGTGAACGGCAAGTTGAGTAATTACTCCCAATGAGCCAAAGGCAATTTACCACATCTAGGACAATTTAGGGTGTAGTTGCGGGTGTGCTTTTGAATTGTGAAAGCTGGGCTATTGCTTAGCATTCAGCAAAGCGGCCGCCTGCTGTGGCGCTTGACAATTAGGAATGCAGATGAAGATCCTGATAGATAGGACCTCCATTGAGAATAGAGGGTGATGCACGGTGTCGATTAGACAGTCTCCTCCCCAGACACAATAGCCAAGCTTTAAACCTCTTAGTCACTGAAAGGCTATTGCATGATCATTGGTCTTCTTTTTCTTCATCCTCCCCTTCTTCTCTTTTCTACTGGCACCGAAAGGGTGTGCTAAAGGGTAGGGTCAGTATTTGGTAAACTGAAGATGAAGATCTGTCAACCACACCAAGGCTACGAACACAATAAAATGTTATCCTCCTTCCCGCCCATGCAAAATCAAACTCAACACCTCCCTCAAACAGATAAAAGGGAGCTCTTCCCAACACCTGATTCAGAGGGATTTGCTTCCCTTGGGCTCTGCATCCACCCTTCCTTTTTTGCATTGCAATTGCTTGGCTTGATCATCTTCTCTGCTATCCATTTGTCTTCGACACACAGGGATGTCTCTCCAGACCGGATTCCAAAGCTCCAAGGGGAGCAGAAGGGGCTACAGTTCATGTTCTGCTATAGGTGGCTTTGGTGGAGGAGGAAGCAGAGGTAGCTACACTTCAGGCAGAGGATTTGGTGGTGGTATAAGAGGCCAGTATGGCAGCAGGAGCCTCCATAACTATGGCGGAGGCACGAGGATTTCTTATGGAAGAGGCTATGGACGATGCATCAGTGGAGGCTATGGGGGATATGGCGGCGGCTATGGAATGGGTGGCCTTGGAGGTGGCTATGGTGGTGAAGGAATGGGTGGACTAGGTGGTGGTTTTGGACATGGAGGAATTAGTGTTGGCGGAGGTTATGGACCTGGAGGAATTGGTTTTGGCGGAGGTTATGGACCTGGAGGAATTGGTGTTGGCGGTGGTTTTGGACCTGGAGGAATTGGTGTTGGTGGTGGTTTTGGACCTGGAGGAATTGGTGGTGGCTTTGGAAGACCGGTTGGTGGTTCTGGTGGCATTGGCAGTGTCCAAATAGACCCAAATCTTCTGCGCCCAGTCCGCGTAGAGATTGACCCACATATCCAACAAGTGAAAAATCAGGAGAAAGAGCAGATCAAGTTCCTCAATAACCAGTTTGCCTCCTTCATTGACAAGGTAAGTGACTAGAAAAACAGGCACTGTACTTTTTTTGAAATTCATTTTATCTTTTACAAAAGCATGATCATTCTGAAAATCAAGATGTTTCATTTTGTCTCTACCTTTATTTTTCTGTATTTCACAAACAACTGCGTGGAACAGCTTCTCCATCAATGCCTCCTTGTGATTATAAAATTAAGACCTCATACTATTCACAGACTGGATAAAAGCCTCCTTGTTAACATTTAAAATCTGTCAAAATCATCCAATATTTTTGCAACAGGATGTCTCAATGTTTGGAAGAGGCAGGTAGCTGAAAGGAAAAAGGGAAGGAACAAACCGTTAAAAGCAATTTGCATTTCTAGGTAAATCCTCAGAGTGGGCCAAGAAAATCAACAGGTGTTGTTTAAATACAAAACAAAAACAAAAAACAAACAAACAAAGAACACAAGATAAAACCGATTTTAGAAGAAGCATAATTGGACTTTGTTAACATAAATGTAATTAACGGTTACGGATGCATGAATATATTTCTATACCTGAATCTGTTGCATTTTTGAAAAATAATTTTAAAAAGCATTTTACAAAGGCTGAAAAGTTTTTTTTCCAAAAAGGGAAATAGGTACAGATGAATTATGCAATTCAAAACCCATACAGAATTGCCCTGGGTGGAATGCTTTAAAGATTGAAATCTAAAACAATTTCTGGGTGAAAATGTCTATTAATTAAAAGGGCTATTTCCATTTTCACTTTGCCTCCTGTAGCTTTCAGAAGGAATTGGGGGAGGGAGGCAGCTTCACTTTTGAAACATCAGCTGTGATTTTAAAGAGTGTTGGAAACATTTTGGCGTGACGGGCAATGTTTGGGCTGTGTTTATGAGCTGTTGCCAAAGCACCCCTAGCAAGTGACTCCATATGCATTCGGGCAGCAGATTTGCTGTAGACTTTAGCTCACACTTTAAAGGAGCTCTCTAAAGTGCTGAACCTCTTCTGGGAATAAAGTTCAGCACTCTGGATAGCTCCCGGGAAGTTCAGACAAAAACCCAGTGTGGAATCACCATCCCATGAAATCTAAGTGACCAGCTCCACTGAACTGTCAGCAACTCCAGGCACGGTAGCTAATATTCAGGGTTGATGGAAGAAAGTTGGCCTGCCTTCATTGGCCTCAGCTACTCATGGACCTTTACCAGCCATTCTCTGCTGAGGTCCTTTAACT